AAAAATAAGAACCAAGAGAGATTATGTAGAGGTGCAAATTTCCAATGATAAATGCCATTATATTGAATACCTAAAATGTACCAATAAAATTAGTTTTTTAAAAATAAAAAATAAACTATACTTAAGGGCCAGGGATTTAGCTCAGTGGTGCTGCGCCTGCCCTGCAAGTGCAAGGTCCTGAGTTCGATCCCCAATATTGGGAAAAAAATATCACTCACTATATATCTAAAATTAAAAATACTGACCATAGCTAATGTTAGCAAGCATGTGAAAAAACTGGAATCCTCATAACTTGGCAGTGAGAATGCAAAACAATATACAGTAATCTATAAGGGATACCTGAAACTACATACACTACCGAACTTGCTGCAAAAAGTCTATAGTCTAGCAGGGAATAAAAACAAGTAACTAAGTAATTATTATAGTATGTGATGTACTAACAGTTCTAGGCTGATTAGTTCAAATTTAGGAAGTCAAGGAAAAAGTCTATAAGAAGTAAGATATAAACTGAAGCCTGGGCAACAATTAGCTAAGCTCCAACAAAATGGAAATAAAATGGCTTGAAGGCTCAGCAGTAAAAGAGAGTTGCCTATTAGAGGAAATTAAAGAAGTTACAATCTGAGCATAAAGAGGCTGGAAAGATAAGCTCAGGAAAATCATGCAGAGCATTTAAGCTATGTGAAAGATTTGGGGAATTCATGCTAACAGCAGTGCAGAAGCACTGAATTCAAAACAGGACACTGACATAATCAAAATTAAATATGTGAAGGAAAACACTAAAACTTTGCAATGTAATGTGGAACATGGATTATAAAAAGCAAGATGGGTGGGCTGGGGATTTAGCTCAGTGGCGTCGCACCTGCCTCACAAGTCCAACTTCTAAGTTCAATCCCTGGTACCAGGGGTGAAAAAAAAAAGCAAAATGGAAAACGGAGGGCCTTGATATGAAGCCATTATGTAAGGCAAGGCAAGAAATTGGAAGAAATGGGGACTGAAATGGAAAAAGCTAGGCATGGTGGTGCGCCCTATAATCCCAGTTACTTGGGAGTGACAATTTGGTGAGAACTTGTCTCAAAATAAAATTTTTGAAAGGGCTGGGGATATACTTCAACGCTCCTTGGGTTCAATCCCAGTACCATAAAAAACAAAGAAAACAGCCTGGGATGTAGCTCAGCAGCATAGCACCTGCCTGGCAAGCACAATGTCTGAAATTTGAACCCTGGTACCAAAACAAACAAGCAAAAAAAAAAACCACTACAAAAATCCAGAAATATCTGCAAAGAATTTGGAAGGCATAATCAAGACAATTTAGTGTATAGCTGATGTGGGAGGTAAGGGAGAGGTATAAGTATACCCAATTTTTGTCTTGGGCCACTGGGAAATGGCTGTGATTCTCTTCAGTATTACTTGCCATTGTATGTAGGTCCACTGTCCACACTTCCTCCGTATCCTTTAGTCTCACAATTTGGGGGAGCCCAGCCATTTTCACAGTGACAATTCTTATTGCTATTACATACCTTCAAAACAATCAAAATACCACTTTTGTTAATTGTGAATGTTGCTCTTTCATCAACTATAGAATGTAAACCAAGACAAAGGACTAAAATACAAAATCATTTAAACTGTTTTTGAGAATGAAAAATTTATTGACAAATTCTCCAACATCTAAAAAAATCCAGAAATCTTTGGAATTCTCATCTAATACTTGGTGGGAATTCTCATTCTCCATCACTACTTTCATAAACAAACCAAAAGAGAATATACCTACCCCATGTCCATGACACTTTTCCTGAACATCACAGTCATAATTCAAAACAGATGCATTTACACACTGGAAATTCCTACAAATCTGAGATAAAAAAAATTAAGTAAAAGAAAAATCAAACACATTAATAAAGAACTACTCAAATTATATTATTGGAGAATTCTTTTTAAACTTTCCAGGAATAGTTAATTCCAATGTTACAGTTTTGAAAATGTAAAAAAAATGTGAAATTAATTAAATGACACAGAACTAATGATCACAAAAGACAAAGAATGATATAAAGGCCAAAAACAAAGGTAAAAGGACAATCTATCCTATAAGAATATAGATGCAAAGATTATACATAAAATATTTACAAATTGATTTTTTTAATCAAAAGTAACCACGTAGAATTGATCTTAGGACTATAGAAAAGTATCGGGAAATCTACTACTATATACCTCTCATAAGTTGTTACTATTAAACAAATATCAAGAGGACAGCTGATAAACTCTAAAACACTTCAATTATTTATTCTTCAAAAAAAAAAAAGAACATTTTGTTGGCAAAACAAAACCTATTATCCAGTGTTATATTAAAGTAACAGGCATTTCTATGAAAAGCAACATTGAAGAAATCATTATAAGGTTCTAGAAATTAGTTTGTGCAGTGAGATATGAAAGGGATGAGTCCTAAATGTTGAAAAAGAAATTGAAAGGTCTCACCTCAGAGCAAACATTAAACCAAAGACCTAAAGGAATCAGTTAAAAACTTAAAAGAAAGCCGAGCATGGCAGTGCACAGCTGTGCCTGAAATCACAGCACTCGGGAGGATCGCCGCGAGTTCCAGGCCAGCCTGGGCTACATAGTGAGTTCGAGGCCAGCCTGAACTGCATAAACAGACCCCATCACAAAACAGACAAACAAACTTAACAGAAGCTTTTCAGTTTTCTGGGAAACTGATACCTTTGCGAAAGGTGCTCTTCTGTGGTAAGTTAGGAAAAAAAAAACCAGAAGACCAATCTTTTTTTAAGACTGTTGAGTGCTATTTAAAGTTTTCTTAGATAACCAACTACACAAGACCAGAATATTTAAGTGCACTAATGAAATAAAGGACAATTTGAGAACAAATATATAATGATATAGTGAAATATTAAGTTATCTTTACTATTCTAAAAAATATACAGGTGTGAAGAATTGTGCTTAGGAGTCAGAGGGTTCTAAATACTGTTTCCTCTAATAATTTTCAGTCAATTTTAACATAGGAAATATATTCATGATTAAAAATCCAAAAAGTACACAAGATTCTACAGTAAAAAGTCATTTCTCATCACTCCTCTAGATGCCCAGTATCTTTAGATGAGATCTGAAAATACTTTTTTCATGCAACCATAAGTCTTTAGAGAAGACATTCGCCAGTAGTTTCCCTATACAGTTAAAGAGTCTACTTTCAATAACTGATTAGCATTGCATACCTAGTTTATAAATTGTAAAGTATGCAAATTTTAGTTCAATAAAATTGTTTTCTTTAAAAAAAAAGTGCATATACCTGAAGCATTAAATAAGATCACAGAAATAAGATGACATGTGTCAATAATTGGCAGCTTTACTTTAATAAGCAGAAAAATTCCAAATTCTTTATACAAGAATGTGTTGTGATGAGTAATGTTTACCTTGTGGATTGAGTAGAACCAAACTATTTGGGGTAGGACAGCAAGGCTGCATTTTAAAGTGTTTTTATTGTAAAAGACAAATGACCAATTACAGATTATATTTATTACAGATATAACTAACACTTAATATTCTTATATATTAGAAGCCCTAAAAATGGCAACCCAATAAAAAGCAGTAATATATGAATATGAACTTCTCAGAAAAAATGCAGAACCTAATAAAAGCCATGAAAAGATTTTCAAGCAGTGAAGTACAAATATTAAAAGAGTGATGCTGGCAACAGTGGGGGAAATAAGACATCTTCATATATAATTAGGAGAATGTAAATTGTTACTGCCTTAATTAAAAGGTAAATTGCCAATTTCTCTCAAAACCTTAAAATCTTAAAATCTCAAAACCTCAAAATCTTAAAAATTTATCTATGGAAGTGTTCATAAAAGTAGATAAGATTAAATTCAGAAGTGTTCAGCACTTGCCAAATAAACTGCAGTCAAGAAAATTTTCCATACTGGGGTAAAATAACTATCTATAATGAAATAAGATGGGATTTTCATAAAATGACCTAAAAGATCTGTGCCTTGTGTTGTTGAGCAAACACATTTTAGAACATTATTAAAAATCTAATCCATTTCTGTTTTTTCAGTTTGTGTATGGGGGGAGTTATATCTTTATAATGCCCAGAGAAAGGACTGCACAGATTTACAACATAGAATTAATAGTAGCTTACCGAGGAAAAGAGTTGGAAAAGAAACGAGTGGGATATCAGCAGGAAATCTTTGTTTTCTGCTTTTTACAATGTTTGTTTTAAATTTTTTAAATGATACATGAGACTCTCATATAAAAAATGTTTTCCAAAGGAAGAAAAAACTTAGATTGAGGCATAAAATAAAATCTACCTATTCACAAGGCACATACTTAAAACAAAATGACAGAAAAAAAAAAAACACAGCTGGACACATTTCTGTGGCTCTATTTCTAGGTTCGGTTCCATTGATACCTCAATATCTCCCCTCCTCCTTAATGCCAACAGTGTAATTATAGTAGCCATATAAGTCTTATCTGGGTGTGGTGGTGCACATCTGTAATGCCAGCACTCAGTAGAATGGGACAGGAGGATCACTGCAAGTTTGAGGCCAACATGGGCTACATAGTGAGTTTGAGGCCAACCTAAACTGCATGGCGAGACCCTGTCTCAAAATAAAAACAACAACAAAACAAACAAACAAAAAGAAGGGGGGGATATATAAAGAGTCTTAAAATCAGGTATTGTGATTTCTTCCACTGCGTTCTTTTTCAAAATTATCTTAGCTATTCTAATTCCTTTGTTTTTTCATATACATTTTAGAATGGTCTTATCTACATCTACAAAAAAAGCTTGTTGGAATTTGGGTAATAGAAGCATTAAAACTATGTATAAATTTAAAAATAAAATGATACTGAAAAACCAGACAAAAAAATCTACAGGCAAACTTGAAGTGTAGTAATAATATGGATTAAAGTCAAATTTAAGATAAAAACATTAAAATAAATTATAGGGACAGTTAAACTAATAAAATATATAATCCACAACTTGAATAGAATAGTCAAGAAACTGCCACAAATACAACATCAACATTCTTAGTGCAAAAATTTTTATAATAAAAAAATGAAGGGCTGGGGATTTAGCTCAGTGGTTCCACCATGTGCCTCGCAAGCACAAAGACCCGAGTTTGATCCCCGGTACCAAAAAAAAAAAAAATGAAAATGGGAAGCTACCAAGGACTTAAAACATTTCTTCCTCTAAATCTTCAACACCTTAAGAAGAACAGTAAATAAGAATGTAAGAATGTGAAAGATCTGAGTATGTAATTATCAAACACAAGATCCTATAAACAAGAGTACACACTTCTAAAACGCACTCATAACATTCATAAAAAATGATATGTGGTCAGCTCAAGGGTGCGTCACTCCAAACTCAAAGCAAATACGTGATGACTTCCACAGCAGAGAGTCAGTACATCTTCACAAAATTTTTGCCTTCTGTGCTAACATTTTGAGAAAAGAAAAAGGAATGTATTGGTTATTATTTTCAAACCAGATAACCAAACTTTTTTTCTGTTACATTACTTCAGAGAAAAATCTTACAACTCTGGTAACACAGAGGTTTGTTAAGTAATCAAACATCCACTACACTGTTCCACCATACTTCTAAGTTTATGGCACAGTAGACTCATTCTGCCTGTGAGTGTCAATGAAAGTCTCTGAAGATCAAGGCTGTACTATTTTCAATAAAGTCGACAGAACTTCCAATACTGCTTCTTAAGAATGGGGTACCAGTTGCCCTTTGTTTTTATATTTAATTTTTAAAATCAAAATAATATATTAACAGGGTTTGAAAAATCAAATAGTGCTGAAAGATTTATGACAAAAAAACTTTTTCACCCACTTATATCTAATCAACCAATGTCTTTCATGATACCAAAAGTTTAACTTTTTACACAACCACATAATGCCACTCCTCTACCTTCTCCAAGTACGTACTATTTAATATTTGCATCATTAATATTGAGGTATAATTGAGTCAGTACACAGTACTTCACTATTCACTGACCAAGTTCAGGACCTGGTGAGAGGCTAAAAATAGGCAATTAAAGGGTCATCTTTCTTTCCAACATAGCATTCCACATGCCTTAGGTACACTGCACCCCAGAATCACTTACGTGCCCAGTCACAGACTGCTCCGGCCAGCCACCAGCCTCCCCGCATAGAAGCAGAGCCTGCCTTGCTAAATTTACTGCATGGCTGAGAGAGCAAACCACAAGGCACCCTCTCTGCAGGCAGGCAGATTGGAAAAGAGAAGACAGAAGTGGCTGAGCCACTCATGCCCAGAGTCTCTTCTGAAAGTCATCAATATGATCAGTCACTTTTGTCTCCCTTGGAGGGGAGTGAAGAAGGACCGCACTGAGGTCAGCAGTGTTACCTTAATGTAAGTTCTTGCACACAGAAACATGCAAAGTTCAGAGTAAGCATCCCATTCCAACCCTGCAGACAGAAACACTGATGATTTCAAAACTAGGAACTCTAGTTCTCTTTTCATACAGTTTTTGTTTATACTACAAGTAGAACTGGCCTTTCTTGTTACAGGATTGGGCTTTGTCATAGCCTTATTATTTTCCTTCCCCTCAAAGAAGTTACTGTTGTCATTTCCTCTTTAAAATGTCTTCTTTCTCTAGAAACTTGCTGCAATCAGAAAACGACTGCTTTCCTGGCCCTGTACAGAGCTGATGTCTTGGAATTTCTCTTCAATACTGTTCTGTTCCCTTGACTACAATTCTTTCTCTTTCCATTTTACTTCCTTGTTGGAACATTACTTTAGATCAGCAGTGGTGAACTTACCAAGCTGTTTGTTATCACTGAAAGCTCTAAAAGGTTTGCCATCCCTGCTTTAGATGA